ACCGGCTTTGGATTATTTTTGTCTGTGCAGTTGGTATAGCACACGCTGGCAAGCAAATTACATCAGCGGTAGAGGGCGCTATGGGCTCCGTGCGTCAGCAAAAGAGGGCGCATTTTTACCTCTTTTGAGAGCTCCGTGGACAGGACACACAGCGTGCGCGTACTGTACTGTGGTTTGTACGCGAAGTACGCACGACTTCCTGAATATGCAAAAGCTATAGCCACTGTGTCTTCGCGTGAGCGTCAGGCGTCGTCAGTGCAGGAATACGTTCGAATTCAACTTGTGATGGTCTCAGAAACTAATCCCCGCCTCCATTAACTTTGGATACATATGAAATACACAGTGGATTGATTGAAATACGCAGTGGATTGACATCGACCCATATATGAACACGGAGCACAGCCTGAGATCGAAAGTGTTTGATTTTTCCGGAGGGAGGAAAACCGGAGGGCCCGGAGAAAAACCCTCTTGGCACAGGAGAGAACCAACGCACAACTCTACTCACATGCGATCCGCGGCCAGGATTCGGACTCTGGTCACCCTGGTGAGAGGCGAGCACTTTACGCACAAGCCACCCATGTGCAGTGGAGCTAAATAAACGAACAGTTTCAGGAAAAGTTTCGTGCAAGAGCTGGAAAGTTGAACTTTGACATGTCACAGGCTGCAGAGAATCAACTGTCTATGTAGCCGTAGCTCTGGAATATACCACATGCTCATATACCTCATACCACATGCTCGTTACTATATAGAATTATGCTGGACGGCCCTATATATGCAATAGTGTAATGTTTAAAACTACCACATCGATCGAGTCACTGTTATAGTGTCATGGATACTACATTGATTACAAATCCAATGGCGTGAGTTAACGGCTCAGTGAGTCGGTTACTTGGGCCAGGCTCGAGAAAGTGCGAGAAGTCACATGAGAGGTAAATCGAATGCTGTAGCGCTTGCACGAGTAAGCGCGGGGGAAGTAATCCAACGCACTCAAGGTAAAGTTATTCGGGAATTCAAGTTTTGACCCGCCAAAAATGATGTCCTTGCAATATCTGATACCTTCCACTGACGCAACAGAAAAGACTCTGACAAAAACCCTACCCATATACATTTATTTGAATTTAGCCACAAAAAGTGCTGAGTCAGCACTTTTTAAATGCCATTATGTTGTCTGATTCCCTGAAAAAAAAGATTACTATGTCACTTTTGTAAACTTTAACCTTATAAGTATCTGAAGACAGGCATGCAGGCAAATGTTGATTTCTAATTGACATCAAAGGGACAAGCAAGTTAACAGTTGGGGCCACATTTTGTAATATATCAGTACATTCCTTATAAAAATGTGCATTGTGTCTATTATGTGCATTTTCAGGCGTTAAAGGTGGTACATACCAGTAAGCAATGTTGCGGTAACACCATATTGGAAAAATAAAGTATACATTGAGGGACATCTGCTGAAAGAAATATACGCACTCACTGGGGGGGGGGGGGGGGGGCAGGCAATACCCCCTGCCCAAAAATTATCAGATCGCCACCCATGGGAAAAAAAAAAACCCAACTTTTTAGCCCAGCAATGTTGCAATGTTAAACAGGTTCAACTGTTAACATTATGAAAAAAAAAAAGATTACGAACTGTGAAAAAGATTACAAACTTGGAAAAGTTGCAAAAAGGGTGATATAAATGCAAGGATTTTGTGAAAAATGTATCAGCAAACATTCAAATAGGGTGGGAAATACATAAATTGGACTGAATAAATTATATTATTATTTTACATTTTACATTTTCTGTTGCCATAATTAGAAATTTTGCAATACTAATTGACACTGCCGATGTTATATTATAATGCACATGCTTCCTGTTTGCCCACTACCTGGGGATATTGTTTGGATACCGCAGATTTTTATTCTTTTGTTGACTTTTCCCCATTTATACCTCATTTTCTTGGAGGGGGAGGTCAAGGCCGGATCCAAAATACAATTTTTGAAGAAAAAGTGGGTCGAAACATTTCTGGGGAGAGGGGCAAATATTATTGTTTTTTTGTTGAGTTTTGTGAGTGGTGTACGCAAAGACTGCCTTTTTTGTGATGTTACTAAAAAAAAAGTTGGGCATGGCCCCCGTTTTCCCCTTCATCTGCCGATGGGGGAGGTCAGTTTAAGGGGGCCAACCCCTACTAAGCCACTTTTGTCATCATTATTCTCAAAACTACCAGAAATGTCATGTATGTGTGTATAATTCATTGGTTATATTTGCTTATTTTGTTGTGTGGAAGCAATTTCAAAATATTTCTGTTGCTTTCAGACTTTAAGTTGGACCTGTATGACCAACATGCCGGGCTGCACTAACAAGATGTAATTAATGAAACACATGTAAAAACAAATACATTTTTCAATGGTCGGGAAGGTGGTCTTGTGGGGCATGGGGAGGGAGGATCATGGGGGAAAATGTTTTGGCCCCTGGGGCCCCCCCCCAAGAAAAACAAATAAATTATCCCATTGCGTATAGGCCTATATATATATATATATATTTTTTTTATCAAATGTACATTGAGCCTACATGTAGTTAATATGCTGGTATTTTCCCTTAATGGTGTTCCGAAAACATATTTCCACCCTTTTGCACATAATAGACAGCAAATGCGCATGTATATTAGGAACGTGCATAGATATCGTTGATAGTCTAGGCCCCCCCCCTCCACCCCCTCCAGTTGTTAACCAGCTTGTTCCTCGACACCCACTGAATAACAAGAAATCGCCATTGCTGCCTTTTGCATGCATGTCTGTATACGGATACTTGGGTTAAAGTTTATGAAGATAACCTAGAAATCTTTATTTTTTTTCGCCGAACATTGCATTTTTTGCAACTAAAATCAGTTGATTTTTATTGTTGGGGCAAGGTTTTTGCCAGACCCTTTCCTGCTATGATAGTGGAAGGTCTTAAACATTGCCAGGACATCATTTTTGGCGAGTCAGAACTTGAATTCCCAACAAAATTTACTTTGTGTACATGTACATCTGTAAAAATCAAAAAACAAAAAACAAAAAAACAGTACAGTTCTTGCGGGCAAAGCCAGGCCTGACATCAGCTGACAGGCATTATTAATTGTTTTTAATGAGATATTGAAAGAAAATCCATTGTTTAAGCCTGTTTTGCACCCAAGTATGTTGGCCTCCATACTGCACAAAAAATGAATTACAGAATAGTACTGACTCAGTATGACTCAGCACTTTTTACAGCTCCCTTGGCCGTCAAGGGCCAAATCAGCGATGCTCTAATATCCACATTTGTTGATATGATATTAATCTATCTCTGTACCACATTTGGCAATGTTTTCTCAAAATGGCACAATAGGTTTGCTATGCCACCCACTGTTCAGCCGATTTGAGTGATTTAGGGGTAGGGTAAGCAAAAATGGCCATGGCGAGCCCAATTTTCAAGACAGAAAGCTTATCTACCACTCAAATTAGAGCTTGTGGTCTCAGGCAGTTTTTTAATTACAAAGTAAGTACGTATCGTAAGAATTAGTAGGAGTTTCAAACTCATTTCTGTCCCCAATTAAGGCAAAGTCACAGGATTTGGGGGGTGTAGGCAAAGCAATATACCCCCTGGGTACACGAATGCAGTTATACTTGGGTTCTACCATATTTTTTCTTTTTTATCCATCCCATCAGGATGGTACAAAGTTGCAACAGGTCATGATGGGACCATTTTTGAGAGAGCAGTGGCCTAAAATATGATTTTAGCTGTTTCTCAAAAAATAAGTCCCAAGGTACCCTACAACAGAAAATAATATTAAGATTAATCATACAATTTTGCGATTAAATGGCCTTATCCCAGGGACTAAGTGTGCGAGCACTTTTTTAGCGTGAAAACAGACCAAGCACGATACATTCAAGCCAGAGTCCCTCATTTGCAGCTATCCAAAAAGTAACTGGCCTAATTATTGTTGAAAAACATACTTGGTTGAAAGACAGTGATTTTGAAGAAATCAACAAAAGAAGGCCTTTCCAACGGTGCTTCTTAAGAAGCACCGTAGGAAATTCAAATTAGTAGTTAGTTTTGTTATTAGTCAAAGAGCTCGCAAGCATTGGCACGACACACACGCGCGCATGGTTGCTATAATTCGTCGGATCAGTGCGCGACATCAGCTCAGTGAGAACATGTCTCGGACGCTGAATTCAGGCCCATTTCAATACACGATTCAGCAACTTTTGATATAAAATTGAGATTCTAGAATGTTGTTTTTCTCAAAATATACAGTTAAAGCTGAGCTCAAAATTTATCAGGGTAGTTGTTCAGCACCCTTTTTTACAAAATGCAACAAATTACAAATGATGGACTACACCTTTAATAGTAACCAAAAAAAACATTATGGCATATAATTCTGAGATGGGTTGGACAAAATTTAACGTGAGTAACCGTAACGTGAGTAACCATGTTTTGTGTGGGTTCCAAAAACTTGAAAGATTCTGGAAGATTTGTTTTACTCTTATTGTGTGTGCCCCATGGCATGGTTTTTCATCCATTTAAAAGAAATTTCAAAAGGTTGTTTGTATGACGACACTTTTTGATTAACGCCAGTTGGCTTTTTATGCTTGTCCTAAAATGTGATGTAAGTAACCAATATTGTGTCTCGTGTATCATACTGGTACATAACACATTTTTCTAGATGTCATCTCTAGTGCTTAGATAGGTCTAGGTGCACTCTATCTACCATGAGGATAATAGTTATTAAACCTTTTTCAGTAAGGTAATTACAACCCAAGGAAACTCAAAGGTACATCAAAAACGTAACGTAAGAAACCGTGGAATTGCCCATTTAGTTAATGTGCCACTTGGACAGCATCACTCATTACAAACTAACATTGTCAAACCCTATTATGAAACAAAATAGCTTGCATGCAGGCTTGCCAAAAGCCTCTTGCAAGCTTGTTGCAATATCACCATTTAGTCAGACTCGGTTTGTAATGATTATAATCTTAATTTTTTTCCTTTTCTATTAAAGTTTTGCAGCACTAAACATGAAGGCTTGATGAATCGCACTAAGGCGTATGTTGGACATTTGGTTTTTGGAGCACCCTTGTCAGTTACGTAAGTAATACAATCGTACAATATTTTCCCTTGTAGAAAATCTATATTAAGGGACTGTAATTTCAAGACCAGGCATACCATTATTTTACACAAATAGGTATAGTTATCAGGGATGAGATTTCCCCAGATTATTTTGGATTGTTTTTACTGAGATTTTTGGGGATTCTGGCAAAATGTAGGCCCTGTTTACTATAATGGATGAACTGGTGACAAGTCTGATATGCAAAGCGGTCACGATAGAAATCAATGCAGTGTGTGCAGTGAAGTACTTGAGGACCAGATAATGAAAAATAATGTTCAATGGTTTGTGCACCTTGTGTTTGCATATTGCGTGACATGTACTGCTAGGCCTATGTTTTGTGCAAGTACAGTGCAGTGACGATCCATGAGCCAACCCTATCGGTGTCAATTTTGCTGCGAGGAGACCCATCACTCATCACTGCGAGATTTTGATCAAGGAATTAAGAGAATGGTTGAAGAAGTGGTTGGAATAAAGTGTCATCGTGAGGTGCATTATCGCTGTGACAAAAAAATAACCTCTACAAACAGAACTAGAGGTTGTAGGAACAACCATATGGTGTGGGGCCATTGATTACTGCAAACTTTGCCACACACATCAACTCAAAATGCATGTTTGACTTAGTCAACATGGTGCTAGAGGGCGCTCTAACATATTATGACGTCACCTGTAATATTTTTATAAAGTAAAGCCTAGGCAGACACTCACATCGTTGAAAGCAAGTTCACATCTTTTACCAATTTCAAACTATAAGGCACATCCGGTTTTGACCGGAAGGAAGGGTCACGTGATTTTGCACTTGATACCAAAAATGAAGACCCTGATATATTGTATTGATTGCCATAAAAAAACAAAATCAAATCTGTAACAGTTGATTGAGGGGTCGGGCACAACCCGACCACTGATTGGAGTTGTTACGATTAATCTTCTTTGAGTGGTCGGGCACAACCCGACCACTCTTTGGATCTGTTACAATAAATCTTTCTTTCTTTCTTTTTTCCGGACAATACTTCTCCGCAGGTTTTCTCCTAAACGGTATACGGTATGAACTTGTAACTTTCAATATATATCGACCCTCATCCGAAGTGGTGCATATTACTCTGACGTCATGATGACGTTATCGGGTGTCAAATTACAAGCGATTTTAGCTGGAAAAGGGTCAAATTACCTTCACCCATAACTCTTGAACAACATAATCAGTGATGTTTATATTCTGTAATAAGATAGACCATGAATTGATGAACATTTCTTTTTGTGTACGTGAACTCACTTGACCCCTTCTTCCGGGTCAACCGGAAGGTTAAAGTTAGGTGAATTCAAAATGGAGACTTTAGCCTGAAATCAAAACAAACCAAAATTTCTTCCATACAGTTTACGGTATGATCATAAAACCTAGTGTGAATTTGTACCACATTACGAAGATACTATATATTTTGTTACGTCATCATGACGTCATCGGGTATCAAAGTACAAGTGATTTAAGGGCAAATTTTGACGAAATAGTTTGCGCTATATCTTTTGAACTAAATATAGTATCGTGTTTTGTTTTTTTCTGAGGTTGTAGACTATGCTGTGAGAAACAATTCTTGTCCCCAGACCATGGGCGTTGCCAGGATTTTTTTTAAAGGGGGGCAAAACTTTTTTTTGCCAAAAAATGCTTGTATTTCTCAACACATTCTCGATTTATCAGTTTTAGAGCGGGGCAGGGACATTTTGCCCCCCCCCCCAACTCATTAAATTTACACCACTTTGTCTTCGCGCCTCTTTTTTTGAGTGGTCGGGCACAACCCGACCACTCTTTGGATCTGTTACGATTAATTGAGTGGTCGGGCACAACCCGACCACTGTCTAGAATTGTTCCGATTAATCTTTCTTTCTTTCTTTCTTTCTTTTTTCCGTACGGCACGTTTCCGCGGGTTTTCTCTTAAACGGTATATGGTATGAACTTATAACTTTCATTATATATCGACCCTCATCCGAAGTGGTGCATATTACTCTGACGTCATGATTACGTCATCAGGTGTCAAATTACGAGTGATTTTATCTGAAAAAGTGACCAATTACTTTCACCTATAACTCTTGAACTAAACAATCAATGATGTTTGTATTCTGTAATCAGATAGACCATTAATCGCTTAACAGTTTTTGTCGTGTACGTAAACTCACTTGACCTTTACTTCCGGGTCTACCGGAAGGTCAAAGTTAGGTGAATTCAAAATGAAGACGTTAGCCTGACATCAAAACAAAAACAGCATTTCTTCCGAACGTTTCACGGTATGATCACAAAACCTTGTGTGAACTTGTACCACGTTACGAAGATGTTATAAATTTTGTTACGTCAGCATGACGTCATCAGGTATCAAATTACAACCGATTTAAGGGCAAATTTTGACAAAATAGTTTGCGTTATATCTTTTGAACTAAATAGAGTATCGTGTTCGTTTTTTCGTGAGGTTGTAGACTATGTCGTGAGAAACATTTCGTGTTCCCGGACGCAAAACCGCTTGACCTTTACTTCCGGTGTTACCGGAAGTGCAATAAAAACTGAATATAACTCAAAAGTGGAAGCATTTTTCTACAGACATATATATTATGCAAGTGTTTAGTGAGGAATGCAAGACGCAAAAAACAGTGTGATGACATCATCATCCGAAAGGGCGCCCCCTATCGGCACTTTAAATAGAGTCTCTCTCAGGGTTCGACCTTAGCGGTGGTCCGCTGGCCAAATGCCAGTTGAATTGCCGGCGGACCAGCTGAAACACCTTGCCAAGTGGTCGGGCTGGCCAGCTGAAAAAAATGTGCGTCAAAAAAATGCTTGTTGTATTTATTTGGTTTCTTACTTACATTCGCTATTTTTTTCAAAATAAACCTCCGTTATTTTTACAAATTCGCTTCGCGATATGACGACTTCGCAATTCGATGTCACGGTGACTATAATCATGTGCGTAATCCAGCCCAATGCGGCAATGACTGGTTCCCGCCGCGCCAATTTACAAGATATAATGATGAAACTGCGGTAACTAGTCTGTGCACGGCTATGCGAGCATGGCTAGGCTATGCATCGTGCAGGCGCCATGCACGTGCTCTGTCAACTGGTCGGATTCGACATCGTAAAAATGCAAAGAAAACACCGATGGAGAAAGAACATTTTTGCAAGTTAATTTTATACAGAATTGATCTAGCTTGTCTGTGTATGTATTTTCTGTGTTCAAGAGTTCATTTTGAGAACGCGCTACTTGTATTTGGAGTGATACATGCCGTGTGTTTCCCGAAATTTTTGACGGTGAAAACGGGTCTGTCGGCCCATGGTGGGCCGCTCGCCACACACGCACGCATCACACACCTCGGAGTTTTGGCCAGCTCCCCACGTCTTGACTAGCGTTGTGCATATGGTGCGAACGACCTGAATTTTCCATATTTTTTTTTAGAAATCCTTACTTTTAGGACCCCTTTCCTATATAAGGTTAAAAGACTCACCAAAACAGCTGACTAAATGACACTCAAAAGTGACATTCTGGTATTTCTTGGCACATTTGAACAGTTGGCAATGACACCTCTTGAATCAGCAGGTTTGATTTTGTAGAAAGAGGGCAGGGTTTTGATTTATGAGGGGGGATGACAAACAGAAAATAGATTTAAAAAGCAAGATGGCGAACTGCAAAAAAAGGTAGGAAAGTCACTTTTTCTTTGAAAGTGCTTTCAAAATTATAACTAACATGAGTTTGTCTGAAGAAAAAAGACTTCTTTAGCCTGCAAAAGTCACTTTGGTACTGGACAGTCATCTGCAAAAGTCAGTTTTGAACAGAACTCGTACAAAATAGAGGTGTCCTAAAAGTAAGGATTACCATTTTTTGGAATTATCGAACGTAAATATATTGACAATAATTAAAGGTAGGTTTTATTCACATTTTTGTCGCCATTTCGTGTATAGCTTTCGTAGTGCAATGAAAATAGTTCAGGCTAATACTTCGCATATAAATAATTGAATACCCCATTCAATCTGCATAAAAAAAATTGGCAAAAAAAAGAAGAATTTCCGACCGACCGACCCTATTTTTGAAAGGCATGTAATCGGAAGCAGAACTATTTTTTTTGGCCTAATTAAGGTAGGTTTTATTCACTTTGTGTGGCCATCATTTTGTGTATAGCTTTCGTATCAAGGGCGGATCAAGGGGGGGGGGGCCAAAGGGGGCCATGGCCCCCCCCCAAAAAAAACCCCGAAACCAATTTTTTTTTTAAATTTTATGTGACATCGCAATAAAGGCAGGCAATGAGTACACCACCATCTTTTCCTCAAAAAAACATTGGTTTAAAGTGGTCAGAAATTGCCTCAGATCGCACCACAGAGCATCTAGAATCCAAAATGTTTTCGGGGCCCTTAAGCGGGCCCCGAACCCCGCGCCGTAATTTTTTGGACCCACTTTTTTTGAGGACCACAATTTTTTTGGCCCCCCAAAAAAATGTGTTCTGGATCCGCCCTTGTTGGTAGTACAATAAAAATAAATCTGGCTAAAACTTCGCCTACTCAGGCCTAATTGAATACCCCTTTCAAGCTGCATAAAAAAAATTGGCCAAAAAAAACCCCAAAAATCCGACCGACCAACCCTATTTTTAAAAGGCATGTAATCTGAGGCGGAACTTTAAAACAATTTGCGGCCTGAGATCATGGAGGAAGAAAATAGACCTCTATTGCTCAGGTGACATGGGTGTTGACTATAGTCTAGTCATGACTTATGTGAAACTGATTAACTGGTGGGTACACGCTGTATAAGACGGACCAGTCAAAAATCTGGCGGACCAGTCAAAATTCTAGCCAACTGGTCCGGCTGGCCAGTCAAAAAAAAAGTTACGGGCAACCCCTGTCTCTTCTTTAATTGTAAAACCAACCGTCCAAATTTTACCAAATTGCCCCTTGACATTCTCTGATTAACCACAGATAACTTGGCAAGGTTTCAAATTGATGACGTCATCAGACCGGAAGTTACTTTAAGGAGAATTTGAAAAAGATCATAGTTTTAATTTAATTCTATCACTTGATCCCTGTCATACCTTCGAAGTCAAAATAATGATATCCATTACAATGTTCACCTTTGGATCTCTAATGCTGTGATGTCATCAAACCGGAAGTTAGGTGTTATCAATACGTCATCAAACCGGAAGTTAGCTGTTATTAATACAAACAATTATATTTCCCATATTTTCATACGTTATTTTAACTTTGCAATGAAAAATTATCCTCTCCGAACTGTATCAGTATTCACTAACCATTTTTGACTGATGGACGTCATCAAACCAGAAATAACTTTTTGTGCACTTAGAATGTTTACTGAAATTTATCACACCGTTAAAGATACCTTTTTTGAAACATTGATTTTACTTGAAGGGATTGAATTTCGTGATCCTTTTTTCTACATAAACATATATTCCTAACTTAACTGGGCAGTGTATAATGAAAAGGCTGTCCGCCCGACCACTCTGCGTTTGTAACTCAACAAACGCGAAACTCTTTTTTTTTTTTTTTTTTTCTTCCTTTTTTTTTTTTTTTTTTTTTTTTTGCTTTTCCAGGGGGGGGGGGGGGGGCAAGTGCCCCCCCTTGCCCCCCCCCCCTCGCGACGCCCATGCTCCAGACACCAAACCGCTTGACCTTCACTTCCGGTGTTACCGGAAGTGCAAAAAAATCTGAGTATAACTCAAAAGGGGAAGCATTTTACTACACACATATATATTTTGAAAGTGTTTATTGAGGAATTCCAGACACAAAACAGTGTGATGATGTCATCTTTCGAAAGGGCGCCCCCTATCGGCATATTAAATAGTGTTTGCTTTCTTTAATTTGAAAACCATCTGTTACAATTTCACAAAACCGCCCCTTGATATTCTTTGATTAACCACAGAAAATTTGGCAAGGTTTCAAATTTATGATGTCATCAGACCAGAAGTTACTTCTATGAGCATTTGAAAACGATAATATTTTAAATGTAATTCTATCATTTGATTCATGTCGTATATCTTTGTAGCCCAAATTAACGATGTGCCTTACAATGTTCACCTTTTGCTTCCAAATACTGTGACGTCATCAAACCGGAAGTTAGGTGTCATGAATACCTACAGTTATATTTTCCATATTTTCATACGTTATTTTACTTCACAACGAACAATTATCCACTCCGAACTTAATCAGTATTCACTTCCCATTTTTGAATAATGACGTCATGAAGCCAGAAATAACTTGTATGTGTAGGCCTACATAGAATGTTACTAAAATTTATCACACCGTTAAAGATGCATTTTTTTTAAACCAAATAATTGATTGTTCTGGAAAGGATTGAATTTTGTGATCCTTTGTTCTTACATAAATTTATTCATAACTCAACTCTGTAGTGTTTAATGAACAAATAACCTGCCTGACCACTCTGCGTTTGTAACAACAAACGCGAACCTCTAGGTTTGTTTTGTTTTTTGCACTAAACAGACTTTTCTCAAACACTGGCTAGGCCTATTATTGGAGTTATCTCACTTTGAATTCCACCAATGGGGTGAAGAATATGTGTATTGGAGTTTCCTTTGTTAGGAGATTTTTTTTTTGCCGACTCCCATTACGTTGGTATATAGCTGTTCCCGTGGGACTTGATCCTGTCTGAAGCATACCAACAGTGTGAGATGCTTACCATTGGCTGCCCGATTGACACAACTGCCTGCAGCTACACTTAACCATCAAAACTATATCACCTATTTACATGTATTTATTGTTGCAGCTCCAAAATGTTAAATTTTGACCATGGAAAACCGCTGATGATTCCGTTTGGCATGGATTCTTTGGAACAAATCGGTAAGTACAAACTGTGTATTTTTTCCACTGCTGTTTACTTACTAAACATTACTAAATGTTTCTTTTTGCTATTTTGTTTCATTCTGGCATGTTTCTGCTGCTGCTGTTGTCGCTGCTAAACATTGCTGCCATTGGTTCTTGGTTCTTGGTTGGTTTTTCTCCTAAATACTCCACGTGGGAGTTTATACAGGAGGCCAGAAATACCAGGGCAAACCCCTTCTCTTAGGTGAGGCGTCATAAATAAATTAACCGTTCGCACGCGTGCGCAGGCGTTCCTTCCCGTTCTGAACGGCCCCCGTTCCTTCCCATGCCGAACGGCTTTTAGAACGCGTTCCGTAGATCGTGCTTGGGCAAGATTCACTGAGGGGGTATTGTTATGTTAATCAACCGTTCCTTTGCGTGCGAGAACGGGAGCAGCACAACAAAGATGCGAAGAACAACTATGTGTATATACTTGTACAGAAAAAAAATCCGTTTTGGTTTGGAATTTAAATCAGATTTGGAATTTGAAAACCCGATATCGGGGCAAGCATTAAATAAAAAAAACATTTCAGAGTTTAGACAGCACGAGCAGGTATGAGGAGTTTGATATGATTTGTGCAAAGTGAAACACCAGCGTGATTCGAATAACAATGTGGTCGGCGTGCGTAAAATGCACAGTACTTTCCACTCATAGTCCACCCATGGTCCACCCAAGCCCCCTGCGTGCTCTGTCGAGGTTGGTCCGCTACAAACACAAGCATTTAATTCTCAATATATATTCGCGACTTCGGAAAATGTCTTTCTGGAAAAAAAGTTCTGATTGTTTTCAATGCTGTTGGTGACATGTTGATGCTGCCGAAGTTCCGACGTACTATGCATGCACCTTCTGTCATTATCATTATACGGCGGTACGGCCGGTGGGAACCATGCCATTTTGTACTGACCATGCTACACTACTGCATGGCCATGCGCGATTGCGAGTACAATGTACATGTACATGCCCGTGTATATGCATGGCGGCCTGTCAGCATGCCGGCGAACACAATCATGTACATGTATATGTAGGCCTATACACAGTGCAGTTAAATAATTGTGAGGGTCTATTACTTATTAGTATTAGATTTCAGTTTTGTTTGATATTATTTTAATTTTTTTTGACGTACAAAGGCCACGCAGCGAAACATTTCAAGAAAATGATACATGAAACAGCCGTTTTGCACGACTTGGGACTTCCTCCTGAGCACGCAATTCCCATGTTTTATAAACAGTCAGCCCCCGGGCTAGCATTGCATACCACATAGCATGTAAATGCAAGAGGCATGAGAGGGGTTACACGACGTACAGCAGGGGGCCCGTTCGCACGCGGGAGGACTGTGCAGCACATGAACCTCGCACCTTGCACGACGATGATCAGTTGGTGGCAGGAATTACTGAGACTTCAACAAGAGACAACCATGCCTGACCTTTTAAGATATTCCTGGGCAATTTAAAAGCCAGAAACCTGGGCGTAATTCGTTAAATTTTACCACGGAATCTACTGAAAAACGCGTTTGCAGTTCAGAAATGAAAACAGACGAAGAAGATAAAGTCGTTTTAAAATACAAATTGAGAAAACCAGACATACTACACTAGATGGTATCCAACCCAAAAAATAATTGAGACGTTTAACACTTATTTTATGTAAAACGAAGTGCGAGTATTCTTCTTTTTTTGGGGGGTACAAGCACGGAAATGTAAATTAGCAGGTACGGTACTGCATATAATGTTCACAAAAACAAGTTTAAACATTGTAAGAAGTTTGCTGACTGATGTATAAACTGGCCTTGTACACACGATCAGCGAATTATAAATCGAATATTCAAGGTTTTTACATACTGATAGTAAAGTTTGCAAAGGACTACTTTCCCCGTTCAAGGTGCCCGTATTTTTATACGTCCCCCCTGTACTGTACGGGCTAGCCTGTAGCGACGAGAAAGTTTGTCGGATACTTTTTAGTGCCGATGAGCTCTTCGTGTGTGCACAGACCGTGACTGGCCTTTTGTTGTATAAGAACGCGTTCGGAACGGGATGCCGTGAGCACGCGTGCGAACGGGAGGTAGATGTAACAAAAGGCCCCGTTCCTAGCGTGCGCACGCATTCGAACGGTTAATTTATTTATGACGCCTCGCCTTAGCGATAAGTGTTTACTGGGTTCTTTTACGTGCATTTATACAACACACGGGACCTACTGCTTAACGTCCCATCCGAATGACGAAGCAATAATGGTTAAGTGCCTTGCTTAAGAGCACAAGTGTCCGCTGGCGGGCTCGAACCCACGTCACTGTTGCCTCTGAAACACCAGAACGTGAGTCCGGTGTTCTTAACCGCTAGGCCATCACATTGCACCTATATATAGCAGCTGTAATTATTGTGGGCAATGTACGATTTAAGTCCAACTTTGAAGCCTCTTATTTTAGTCATTTAAAAAAAAACACAAAGGAAAACTGACTAGGTGGATTATATAAATCTAAAAATTAATGTGGCCTGACGTTGCGAACTTAGCAAGTTCTTCTTCAGAGGCTAAAACAGAAAGGACAGAGGTACATATATTAACATGGGGGTGCACACAAACATGCAGGGCTGAAAGAAGAAACACAAAAGGAGGATTAGGTGGGAAAGGTGTGGAAAGATGCAGGGGAGGGTGGATGAGGAAACAAAGAAACAAAGGGAGATGGCAAACCACAAGGGGTCTGGTATAAACAGGGGAGGGACCAGAAAGGGGAAGGATCAAAGGTCACAGGGAGTGGGAATGGACAAAAGAGTGTGAGAGTGAAGGGGGATGATGCGGGGGGGGGGGGGGGGGGGGGGGGGAAGGGATGAAAGATGGGTAAACACAAACAAGGAAGACCAGGTGGATTATCTGTAACAGAAGACAATGGAGGAAGAAAAGGATTAATCATTTCCAAGTTGGATGTTGAGACCATGTGGTTGAATAGTTCGAAGACGATTCATCCACACTTTCTCTCTGCTGAGGCGAACTGAGTCCTTGCGATGGCCAAGAGATTCAATGCCCTGCAAAATCATATCAGAAATGGAGTGGTTATGCAGGTTGAAGTGATGACCAACAGGGGTGTCTAGTTTCTTGGTGTTGACCGTTGACTGGTCGGCATAGAAACGCTTCTTGAGCGTATTCTTAGTCTCACTTACATACTGCACTCCACAGACCCTGCAAGAAATGAGATATATGACATTAGAGGTGTTACAAGTGATGTTACCAATGGTTCTGTGGGTAGTGACAGAAGAGTGGCCAGAAAAGGAGTCAGACTCCTGGATATGAATCTGGCAGACAACACATCTGGAACTGCACTTGAAAGTACCATGCTGGGTGGGAGGGGATGCATCTAAGGATGGGACTTCAGCTCGAACAATCAAGTCCTGTAGATAATGAGGACGCCTGTAAGCCAATGTGGGGCCGTTGGGGATGGCGCGGGCAAGGCGATCTGAAGTATGGAGGATATGATGATTGTCATTAGTGATTTTGCGAAGGGGAGGGAGATTGGGGTGAAACGTGGTAACCAAGGGAATCATGGGTTTGGCCATGGCATCAGGGGCCTTTCCCGTGAGAGCTAGATTTCTAGGGATAGCTTTAGCTCTGGCAATGGCACGATGAACTTGGCAAGAGCTGTGACCCCTGGCCACCAAGTTGTTCCTCACTATCTGTGTATGGCGGGAGAAATCGGAATCATTAGAACAAATTCTTCTGAGTCTGAGTGCCTGGCTAAACGCTATGCCAGTTTTGCAGTGCCTGGGGTGACAGCTGGAGGAGTGGAGGTACTGGTGGGTGTCTGTGGGTTTGGAATACAGGTCAGTGGTTAGTGAGTTGCCTTGCTTGCAGACGGTGACATCCAGAAAGTGGGTTTGGTGAGCCGAGAACTCCGATGTGAATTTGATGGTTCTGTGGAAGGAATTGATGTGGTTAGTGAAGGTCAAGAGACTGTCCTCATCACTAGTCCAGATGAAAAAAACATCATCAATATATCTCCACCAGATCCAAGGGCGACATGGGGCCGAGGCAAGAATGCGTTCTTCGAGGTCACCCATGAAGAGGCAAGCCATGGAGGGGGCCATGCGAGTGCCCATTGCAGTGCCGTGTACCTGTAGATAGTGTTCACTGATGGGAGGAGTCGTGTCCTGCCTTGGCCAGAGCCAAGGAGCAAGCACGAACACCCTCCTCATGTGGGATGTTGGTGTACAGAGATGAGACGTCGAAAGTCCCAATGATGGCTGTGCTGGGAATCTGGTCCTTGATTCCTTCAAGCTTGCGGAGGAAGTCTGGGGTGTCGTGAATGTATGACGAAATCTGTGGGACAAGGGGTTTGAGAAAACTGTCAATGAACAGGGAGATGCGTTCCGTGGGTGAGTCATTACCGGAGATGATGGGTCTACCGGGGTTGCCAGCCTTGTGAATCTTGGGTAGAAGGTAAAATCTGGCAGTCCTACAATCACAGGGAGAAAGAAATTTGTGATCCTTCTTGGACAACTGGTCACGTGATCGCATATCGTCAAGTACCTGTTGTATATCTTGACAGAAAGTGCCTGTGGGGTCAGAGTCAAGGCGGGTATAGTTAGTGCGATTATCCAACTGGCGGTGGGCCTCATTAATGTACTGCTGACGATCCATGATGACCACAGCTGAACCTTTATCTGCTGGCTTGATGATGATGTCGGTGCGAGAGCGCAAGGAGTTGAGAGCCAGGCACTCCTCTCTGGGGAGATTATCATGAGTCCTGTGGGGGAAGTTGTCTGGGTTAGTGACTTGGGAATTGATAACTTGAACGTATGTCTCTATGGCTGGTACACGATTCTTGGAGGGTACCCATGAACTCTTGACTCGAAAAGGCTCTGGCTCACACGGTTCACTGTCCAGGAAAAACTCTTTTTTTCATGTAGGTGGATTATAATTATTTTAAAGTTGAATAAAGAAATTTACTGGAGCGGGATTTGAACATGCAACCACTGGGTTGAAGACGTTGTCATGA